GCGCTTCACTGCCTTGTGGGTCAGACCTTTAGGTCGAAGGCTCTAGGTGTGGTCCCCTAAGAAGACCACCTGCTTCGGTTTGGGCACCTGGTCAGTATCACAGCCCTCACACATATCAAATGAGATTTGTGTGGCGCATATGTATCTGATGCCTCCTTGTACCAATATCTATGTGTTAAAATAAAATAAATTGTAACGCTATAATGAATAATAACTAGTCAACTTCTAATTCAGTACAATAAGCTATTAATTACATGTAGAGTAATACTAGTAGATCACCTTTTTCAGATATAATCAGATGATATTCTCTAAAAAGATGATGAAAGGTTTCAGGATTGAACCTTCTAGATTAAAAAACATAATACCTTTGAATTGTTCGTCATTAGCTATAAATCTTTATCATTATTCTGACAGGAACAACACGAGGCAGTAATGTATATAAAAATTTAGAAAGGAAGCATATGTTTTTGATTGAGATTATGAACCGATTGATGTTGGACCAGCACTGAAAACCTGGAAGCACTGGACATTCTTTTGGTCCTAGTATCAGACTCCTCAACAGTGCGCATACACAATCCCGTACGAGGTATTTAAACACAGGACATTCGATCTGGCGCACGAACGCTTAACAAGTAGACCACTGAGCTGATATCCAACAGTGTTAATGATGTCTAACTTCAACTAATCCACCATCTTCCATTGTGTGAAGTAGATATCTGTCTCTACCTGACGCGGATTAACTCTACTGGTCACGGTCTCTCTCTAGAACTATGAGAATTTCGTCACGAAACTAGTCATTAGTGAGCATATAGAGGATTGGTTTAAGTTCGATATTTACGCCATTGGATGCCAACTCAGTATTCCAGAGGCTAAGCATTCGCGCGCGAAACCAGAGGTCCCATGTTCGAATCCCACGTACGGTATCGTGGATGCACACTGTTGAGGAGTCCCACACTAGGATGAAACATCTGTCCAGTGCTTCCAAGTATTTAGTAGTGGTCTAACATCAATCAACTCGTGAACTCAATCCAAAAATTGTAAAAATAATAGATTTTGAAAATCTCTTGATTGAAAAGAAAAAAACAAAAACAGAACAAGTTGACTGAGTTACATTTGAATAGGTTTCTGAAAAAAACGAAAAAGACAATTACCTAGTTTTCGTGATAAAATTTCACGGTAATTGATTTATAAAGTTAGATAATGAAAAAATATACAAATGAATTGAATAGCTTCATTTTAATTGTCCAGTAGATGGCCTATGATACTCCATGAGGAGTAATAGGCATAAGTAAGTAAGTAATCTTAATTGTAAATCATTTCTAATTTTCTTATTGTTACGACAGTCTGATACATTAACAATAGGTTAAGCGTTCGCGCGCGAGACCGAAGGCCCTGGGTTCGAATCCCGTGAGCGGGATCATGGATGCGCACTGCTGAGGAGTCCCACAATAGGACGAAACGGCCGTCCAGTGCTTTTAGGTTTTCAAGGGTGGTCTACCATCAATCGGTTCATGATCTCAATCAAAAACTTAACAATCTCTACAACCCCTAAACTAATGATACATTAATGTTGAAATACTGATGCCTAATTAATATGACTACAGTGTTTACATCATTTAGTACTATGTTCGACGAATAATGATAACGTTAACATAGAGGCTCAGTAGTCAGGTTATAAATTCATTGATATGTTAACTAGATAAAAAGCACATATTATTCAATTGCCTTTATTCAGATAACTGTGATTTATGTTTGCTTTAATGTTTAGTGCTCAATATGATAAACACATCGTTATGAAAGAGTGAAATGTAATCTATTGATAAGTTGTTTTATCTTATGAAATCAGTACGTACGGGGCATAAGTCGATAATTTAGAGTAGTGATTAGTTAGTATTTATCCTCATCATATCATTATGTATTATTTGTCAATTAACAGTCTATTTATTGTTTTAACAATACACGAAATTGCGCCACCATTCACCATTGTCTTCAGTGAGTTCTAGTGGAGTTCAACCGTGTCTGGTGTATAGATAGTAACTCAGTGAAGACAATGGTGAAGAGTGGCGCAATTTCATGGATTAATTAAACATAGACATTAAAACTGTTGGATATCGATTTAGTGGTCTATACGTTAATCGTTCGCGCGCGAGACCAAAGGTCCTGGATTTGAGTCCCACATAACAGATTGTGGATGCGCACTGCTGAGGAATCCTATACTAGAACAAAACGGTCATTCAGAGTTTCTAGGTTTTCCATGGTAGTGTAACTTTAATCGACTTATGAATTCAACTATTAAATTACCACAATATCCAAAAAACCCTTTTACTGATAATAATCAAAACTTTTCCTTCATTACAGTTTCAATATAATTAATTTAATAAGTAAGTGAACTTACTTAGATTTAACATACAAACAACTAATTATTACTATGATCAATATGCAAAGATTTGCATCTCATCTATCTCATGTAATAGGACACACATTGAGGAAACCACCCACCTGTATCACAAGTCAAGCCGTCACATGGAATCATCAAGGCCAAAGGAAAAGAGGAAGACCAAAATACACATTACACCGAGAAATGAAGACAGACATGAGAAGAATGAACAACAGTTGGATAGAACTAGAAAGAAATACCCAGGACAGAATGGGTCGGAGAATGCTGATCGGCATCCTATGCTCGATTGGGAGTAATAGACGTAAGTAGATAAGTAAGTATCTCATATAATTTACCTGGAATATTTTGATTTAATTATTTATTTATTTTAACACATAGATATTGGTACAAGGAGGCACCAAGTACATATGCTCCACACAAATCTCATTTGATATGTGTGAGGGCTGTGATACCGCATGGGTGCCCAAACCGAAGCAGGTGGTCTTCTTAGGGGACCACACCTAGAGCCTTTGACCTGAAGGTCTGATCCACAAGGCAGTGGAGCAACGTTAGGAGATGCAGTCCCATGGCAGCCGGTGATCAACGATTGGTTCATACGCCATTTGTTCCTTCAGGATACTAGAGCCCATGTGCACTAGTGATTCGGAATCAGGGTTTTCCAACTCCCCTAGGTGGACTCTCTATGTCCACCAACCCGGTTAAAACCCCGGACATTTGCTTTTCGTCTTCTCAATTTCGTGAACAACAGTAATTCTGCGAGAAGGCAGTGAGTAGGACTTCCCTGGCAGAGACTATATACGCGTGGCCGTGTGAGAGCATTTGGAGAGGGAGAGCTGTCTCCCCCACTCTCAGACGTACCAAGGGATTTGGGGGCAGAATATTTGGAGTTGTTATCAGAATCCATTGAGAAGTAGCCAGTGATTTTATGTATCAATATCAATGAGTAAAATTATCTCAAAAACGTTTTTGTTTTGCTAAATTAACCAAATATAAACAGTAATACAACAAATACATAATATAGGTACTTTGTAGATTGCTTTCAGACAGCAAATAAATGATTTCATTTCATCTACATTATGAATAATAACATAGTAATATGTATCGATATTGACATTTTATTACATTTCTTAATAATTAAATCTTTCAGTAGTAAATTATGTTGTTTTTTTTTCATTTTGCAACCAATAACCGTAATGTACCAAAACATAACTCCTATTCATTAAGTGCAACTTTAAGCCATACTATTCATATATTTATATATGTGTGGGCTGGTGTTAATATTTTGGTATTCCACTAAAAGTGGATGTATGTAAGGTTAGAACTTACAACTTGATGTTTGTAAGCCAAGTGCTTCAATCACAACACCATACATGCCCTGGTACGGCCAAGAGTGGAGAGAGTTCGTCCTCCCTCTCAAAATGCTTTCACATGACCACGCCTATACAACCACTACTAGGGAAGTCCTACTAATTGCCTTCCAGCGTAAGGGTTGTCGTTTGTGAAACTGAGAGGATGAAGAGCGAATGAACCGGGTTGGTGGATACAGAGGATCCACATAGGGTAGTTAGAAAATCCTGATTCCAAACCAATGATGAACATGGGCTCTACGATCCTAAGGAAACAAATGGTATATGAATCATTTGTTGCTCACCGGCTACCATGGGACTGTTTCTCCTTACATTGCTCCACTGCCTTATGGATAAGACCTTTCGGTCGAAGGGTTAGCGTGTGACCCGCTTAGAAAACTACCTCTATCAGCACCTTTAACTTCTCACTAGTAAGTTATTTATTCTAAAATTTTTCCATTTAGTTCGGTTTCAATAGACGTGGAACCTGATTTACGAATACATAAATACACAGTATTTCTCAAAGTTCAATAGATAAATTTGTATTCAATGAATGAGTTACCATTAAAAAAGAAACACATCACCATAAAATACCTAAACAAAATGTTTTATAGAAGTCAATACTCGTCAACATAGTCAACTGAAATAACAGTAGAAAATGTATAGCTGATATATGTTTGATTATTCTACACTACCAATGAACAATTAAAGCCAAAGTAAGGAAAACCAATGGATATTATAAGAAAAGATGGATAGTGGCTAGCAGTGGAATAAAGTGTGAGTGTTTCGTCCTATTTGGGACTCGTCAGCTGGAGGTACCTGCATCTCAGAGTTGATGTTCACTTTGGAACTCAATCCCAATACCATTAACATCAAAAAACATCACGTTATCCATTAGCTACTGAGTCGTGATAGCCACCTTCTTCTGCAATGTGGTGAAGTTTGAATTCCACTTGGTATTGTTTTCTTAAGGCAAACGATATTAAGTTCGAGTCCCGGAGTGAAGGCACGTCTAGTTGACGAGTCTTAAATAGGACGAAACACGCGTCCTGGATTCCACTGCTACCCACTACCCATCTTTGCTTCTATAGCATGTGACGTAAGGTAATATCGAGGCAGTCCTCACAGTATGCACATATCCCAACAAGAGACTGATCAATTGGAGTCCTAAGTAACAATAGAAAGATACAAGTAAACAACACCACGTGAATTTAACCAATAGATATTGTTTAATAAAAAATTACCGAGTGACTTACTAAAAAGTGAAAATCATACATTAAATACAGTATTTGTACAATTTCGTCCAGTTGTCTTGTACATGCTTCATGATTCTTCCAATTTTGTTGTTATTATGATTGTTCTCTATTTCTCTTCCTGTTATGTTCAATACAATCTCCTGCTTGCAGGCGTTTCACTTCCGATTGCTGGTACATAATACTTATAGCTGTCAGTATAAGTAGCATACACCAAACTCGTCCTCCTTTTGAACGGTCTCTCCTGAAGTTGTGTTGCTTGCCATGCCACTTTCTTGTTTTTCGTAGTTTGTGCCACGCTCCCCGTCGAAATGTCGAGTATTCTGGAGCTCTGGTAACCGTAGCTCTGTTGATCTATTGGGCTATCTAAATCTGATGTCAACCCAGTACCCTGGACGTCCAACGCCAGCTCGACAAATAGTCGCTGAGTCATCTACATTATTACTTATGTCTATCAGCATAAGTAGTATTCACCACAGAAGTACTTGAAAAAACAGTCATAATTTACAAGAAATAAACTATTTCGTCGCATACAACAGAAGATGAACAGCCAAAGTGGTGAGTAATGTGGAAAATGTAACAGATCGGTTGTTGTATGGTTATTGGCACTATGATATTTGTTGTTTACTATGTAAAAAAATTATTCATAGCATGTACTCTTAATTTTAGCCCTGACAACAAAGAGATCAATAAAGGACATTTACTTTATTTAATGAACTGATAAGTTTGCACTTATCTCCAATTTCTTTTCATGATCATAGAACGCACACACAATTAGATGATATTCATTATACATGTACTTTGACAAGATCAGTTTACTTATTAGTTTATATAAGGGTATGTGAAGATAGTTGAATTTTATAGTTAATATCACACACTGGGATAACCAATGGGAACCAGGAAGTAACAAACTACTGATTCGCTATAGTATGAGTCACTACAATCCCACATGGGATCAAAGACACGACCTTTAGTTCTGGTAACCCGCATTCAACCTAAAAACTACTAATCATTTAAACTTTAAATTCACTTGGTATTGTTTGGCTTGTATCTTCCCATTGAGGTTTAAGACTGCAATTGATCAGTCTGTTATTGGCATATGTGCATAATGTGCTTATGTCTCGATATTACCGTAATTCACAAGCTATTTGTAAGCAATGATGAATAGTGGCTAGTAGTGGAATCCAGGACGCGCGTTTCGTCCTATTTGGGACTCGTCAGCTGGATGTACCTGAATCTCAGAGAGTTCACTCTAGGATGAAACGCGCGTCCTGGATTCCACTGCTAGCCACTATTCATCAGTGCTTACATTTAGACTTTAGTTTCATTTATTATGATCGTAGCCTTAGTTCAAGATTTTACAGTTTCACTGAACTTTGTTAACATAACATACCATAACAAACAGAGGTATACCTACACATATGGAACATTTTGAACACAGTTATATCAAATGATTTGTATCTATGTCATATATTTATACATATAATCACAATAAATGTAAAACACTTTCAATAATGACTATCAATAATCAATATTCTGTACGATATTGATTGTCAAAAATAGAATATCGATCATATCAACTTTCTTGAAGACTCCATAAGCTCTTATGCAACACATAATTCACTTCTCAGATACTATATATATATGACATTAAACAGGAAGAATAAGCATTAGTGAAAATCACAGTGAATCCATTTGAAGTAAATTCAACGTTTTCGTCTAGTAATCTGATCCAATCTTTTTCAAGGAAATATAGAATCAAACATCAAAATTATCGAATATAAATAAGGTACATGGTTCTTCGGTTCATTGTATACTAAATAGATCATCCAATCAATGTTAACTATGTTTACGTATACATACATTCTGTTATCTTAACATTTTTTGTTGCACACCACATGTCTTATACACACTAATGCAAATACTCACCTTAAACATTGTTAACGTTGATTGGATGATCTATTCAGTACACAGTGAACCAGAGAACCATGTGCCTTATTTATATTCGATCATTTTGATGTTTGATTCTACAGGTAGATAGATTATGCCTGTTACTTCTCGTGAAGGAACATAGGCCGACCACCAGCATTCTCCATCCAACCCTGTTCTGGGCAATCCTTTCCAGCTCCTTCCAGTTGTTATTCATCCTTTCCATATCTGCTTTTATTTTCCGACGTAATATATTCCTTGACCTTCCACTTTTCCGCCTTCCTTCAGGATTCCGAGTTAGGGCTTGCCTCGTAATGCAGTTTGACGATTTACGTAGTGTAAATCCTATCCATTTCCATCGTCTTTTCCTAATTTCCTCTTCAGCTGGAAGTTGGTTTGTTCTCTCTCACAGTAGGCTGTTGCTGATAGTATCCGGCCAATGGATGTTGAGTATCTTGCATAGACAACTATTTATAAATACTTGCACCTTCTTGATGATGGTTGTTGTAGTTCTCCCAGTTTCAGCTCCGTACAGTAGAACTGCCTTGACATTCGTATTGAAGATTCTCACTTTGATATTGTTTGAAAGTTGTTTTGAGTTCCATATGTTCTTCAAATGTAGGAATGCGGCTCTTGCTTTACCAATCCTTGCCTTTACGTCTGCATCTGAACCTCCTTGTTCATCGATGATGCTTCCTAGGTATGTGAAGGACTCTACATCTTCCAGAGTTTCGCCATCAAGTGTGATTGGATTGTTGTTCTCCATGTTGTATTTGAGGACCTTGGTTTTCCCCTTGTGTATGTTGAGACCTACTGATGCAGAGACTGCTGCTACACTGGCTGTCTTTATCTGCATTTGTTCGTGTGTATGCGATAGGAGGGCTACAAAGTCCAAATCGTCTAATTGGTTCTGAGCTATCCATTGTATTCCGTGTTTTCCTTTAGATGTCGAGGTCTGATTCTGTATTTCCTTGAAAAAGATTGAACCAGATTACTAGATGAAAACGTTGAATTTACTTCAAATTGATTCACTGTAATTTTCACAAATACATATTCTTGCCTCTTTTTGATGTTTCACATCAACTTGGCGCCTAAATACTATGGAACTATTCAATCAAAGAGATGAATACATTAAAACATGGAATAAAATGAAATACTATAGAATTATGCAAATGAATCTAAACTATCGTTGAATGTTAAAAATGAGAAAAACTAATGAAAAGGAAATTATTATCATTTTCTTTTAAATATTAGTGTAATATGATTTTGAACAAAGGAAGTTACAATATTTCCTGATTTGTAATACATATATTACAGTTATTAGAATGAATCTCATTACGGTAACTGTTTCATACTGATGTGGGACACATAAATATTGCGAACCCAAGGATCCATATGGGTTGAAGCTAGTGATTCCGACTACATATATTTCCAGTTTTTCACCTAGATATCTGAACTTAATTTCCTTTTCAGATAGAGACGAGACTCTAATTTATGGACGACCTTTGAACGAATCTTAAGTCACCTTGAGAAATATTAATCAATCAGCAAGCAGTCAGTATAGAGTAAAAATATATAATACAAAACCAAAGAAATAAAGTGGATACACTTCTTTAACGTGGTTCAAAAACTTGTCATAATTAGAAAGAGGTTTAGAGGTTCTATAACCGTAATGCATACAGTAGAGGAGATCATCCATATGGCTACAGAATAGTCGGTCTCTGGAGTCATGATAAAGTCTCAAAAACTCTTTCAGCCTCGACCACATAGTTTCAATATTGTTTATGTGCACTTCGGTTGTTGAGTGCACAAAATGCTACATGTGGATAACGACATGATGCACATAACCAAGTCTATGTACGAGTCTGTACACTCTCCAAACATCCGAATATATTGTAGTACCTGGCTCCAGTCAGTGTTACTGGTGCTTTATTATCCAGTTCGCGATTGTTGTGATAATTTGCCTTAGTTAGGAATTATATATAGGGTTTCCATCACGAACTGACATGAGCTATAATACCAGAAAATTATTTAGGCGAATGCATGAAAGGCTTTCGTGTTAAAATCCGAGTTCTTTTATCTTATAATGGATTGAATCGTTCACAAATTATAGTCTCGCCGTTTTATTTGTTATAGCCGCCCAATTATCACGTTTTGTACAAAATTCGTTGTGAACCCATCGTACGTTAACAATAAGCACTGAAGTTGGCGCCGTAACCTTGAAATCTCTAAAACGCTCCTGATTGGCTCGTTCATAAATTAGAGTCTCGCCCAGATAGCTAGTCGAAATTGTGAAAGATAAGTATGATCACATGAAAGTAGTTATGCACAAAACCATTATCCTTTTATGTTTTGACGAGATGAGAATGTTTAAAAAAACAATGTTTTATAAACAAAAATAGCTGATGGCCAGTAATGGAATTCAGAACAACCGTTTAATCTTATTTAGGACTCTTCAGTTGGATACACCTGCATCCTAGACTTAATGATTACTCAGGGACTCGAACCCAGCACTATTCGTTTCAAATGCCTTGTGTTATCCATTTAGCTATTGAGTCTAGGTAGCCACTAACTTGTACAATAGGGTGTACTGGTTATTTGAATCTTCACATTGATATTTAAAACTGAATAGGATGCACATATATGGATAAAAGAATGATCAATTACAGTCTTAAACATTAAACAACCAATACAAAAATGAATGATTGATAATCAAAATTCTATATGAATATGACTGAAATTAAACACTATGGGTAAATAGGAATAAATGAAGCTAATTATATTAGGATTATTATTCAATCATGAATCAATAATGCATATATTTATATTTTAAACATTTTCGTTATCAACAGAAGGGGTTTTGTGGAGATTTTAGAAATTTCACTGATTGAAATCATAAGTCAATTGAAGCTAGACCACCATGGAAAACCTGGAAGTACTGGACGGTCGTTTCATCTTACTGAGGAACTCCTCATCAATGCGCATCCACGCTCCCACCTCTTGAGATTACAACCCAGGATTTATCAGTCTCGCACGCGAACGCTTAACCTCTAGGTCACTAAGCCAACCGGGATCCAATGGTGTTAATGTCTAATTTTAACTAATCCACGAAATTGAGCGACACATCCACCATCGTCTTCAATGAGTCACTATCTCATAATAGACCCAGTTGAATTCCACTGGTCACTGCCTCTTACTAGAACTCCAAGAAATACCACTTTAAGCCAGTCACTAGTATGCTGTCAGGTTTTCCATAGTGACTTATGATCTCAACTATTACAATTACTATAATATCCACTAGTCCCTTTCTGATAATAATAATAATAATAATAAAATGATGATATATTTTTAATATCCAAATAAGTGATGAATTGAACGTCCAATGTTTCTTCTTTTAGCTGGATGGTATTGTTTATCCATCTTAGGAAATAAAAACTCCATCGTTAATCATCATCTTCATCATCTCAAAATTTATTCAATAATGAATTTATTGAAAATAATCAAGTTAAAAAATGACAATCATACTTAATTACACTTTAAGTTATAATTTATAGCTAAAGACTTAAACAATCTGTTATATCTAGAGCTTAGATTCTTATTTATTTTATTTTTATTTTAACACATAGATATTGGTACAAGGAGGCACCAAATACATATGCACCACACAAATCTCATTCGATGTGTGTGAGGGCTGTGATACTGCCCGGGTGCCCAAACCGAAGCAGCTGGTTTTCTTAGGGGGCCACTCCCCGAGCCTTCGACCTGAAGGTCTGATCCACAAGGCAGTGGAGCATCGTAAGGAGATACAGTCCCATGGAACCCAGTGACCGACAATTGGTTCATACGCCATTTGTTCCCTCAGGATACTGGAGCCTATGTGCACCATTGGTTTGGAATCCGGTTAAAGCGCTGGACAGTCGCTTTTCGTCCTCTCATTTTCGTAAACAACACCCCCGCCACGAGAAGGCAGTGAGTAGGAATTCCCTGGCAGAGGCTATATACGCGTGGCCATGTGAGAGCAT